TTTAGGGTTTATTGGTTCAGGGTTTAGGGCTTTAGGGGTTTAGGGTTTCGGGTTTAGGGGTTTGGGTTTAGGGGTTTCGGGGTTTAGGGGGCTCGGGGTTTCGGGGTTTAGGGGCTTAGGGGTTTAGGGGTTTAGGGTTTAGGGGTTTACGGGTTTAGGGTTTAGGGTTTGCCCCAAAGTCTTACAGCATCTTAGATTACAGCAAGAAGTACACCCCCAAGCCTTACTTAAGGAAGGGCATGCAACCTTTTTAACCGTTCGTGCAATACCACAATGGTTAGCCTGTAGTTCCCCATGATGCTGGACAAGTAGGCTTAAAGCAACAATCCCTAACCCCTAAACCCTAAACCCCTAAAGGCCCTAAACCCCTAAACCCCAGGAACCCTTCAAACCCTAAAGCAATAAACCCTTGAAATCCTAACTGCGCAGGTCTTTGCTGGAGCCGACGCCGCTGGCTGGGCTCCTTCTTGAAAGGCGGAGCCTCTTCCCAGATCTCCGGGTGTACAGCTTGAGGGGTTAAGGGGTGAGGGTCAGGGTTAAGTGAAGTTTCCGCAGGAGTTGAAGAATTCTCCGAGTACCTGCCCCTACTCTAGGACAGCAGAAGCCTTCAATGGGCCGCTTCGTAGTTCCGAAGGAGGGGATTTAGGTGCTCGAGCGGGACAGGGTAGATTCCGTTCGCGTCATAGTTCGCGTAGCAGTCGGTTGAGGAGAACCGATACTCTAGAGAATTGGTACCAAGTGCCGGGTATAGAGTAGACTGAATAGACGTGAGAACACCACATTTTAGTCCGAACCGTCGTCGCACTACAATACCCTAAACCCTAAACCCCTAAACCCTCAACCCTAAACCCCTTAACCCGTAAAACCCTAAAACCTAAACCCCTAAACCCTCAACCCTAGCCTAAACCCTAAAGCCCTGAACCCTAAACCAATGCTGACTGACTCCTGCGATGGTGACTTGCATCCTGATCCCCCTCATTGTCAACTGGTCTTTGAATGGTGTAGTGTGAATCGGGTTTTGGGAGTTCAGAATTGTAGTTATAGTATAATTATACCCCAAAACCCTATTCTAACGATTAAGGCCCCTACATTAGGTGCGCCTCGGCTGCCCCAGTAATGCAGACAGCGACCAGAACTCTGTTTCTTTCAGTTCAGGATTCCAACCGTAGCCGTAGGTCCACGCTGCCCACTGCATCCTACTGCCAATTGGATGCAGAAGTGTCAGGTATATTGCATATACACAAATATACAGATACATATACATATAATATACAGTTGTATATAACAATGTATATGTTAGATGTATTATATGATAGCATGCTACATTATACTTTACTATACTATATACCATATACAATCTTGTATGTATGTATGTATGTATGTATGTATGTATGTATGTATGTATGTATGCATGGATGTATGTATGTGTGTATGTATGTATGTATGTATGTATGTATGTATGTATGTATGTATGTATACATATATTTGTATGTATATCAATATGTGTATATATATATATATGAACCTACATTACTATATGTTTAAGGTTGAGTTGCCGGCGCTGCGAGCCCACGACAGCCACCACGGACTGGTGCTTGTCGCAGATGGATACAGGTGCAAAGGGCACGGGGCTGTTTAGGGCTTAAGGGTTCAGGGCCTAGGGTTTATCAGGAAGGATTTGGAACAGGTAAGGCTTAAATCAAAAGAACCCCAAACCATACGACCCTTGCACCGCAGGTGTCGTAAGCCCGAAAGCACAAGAGCCCCAAACGCTAGACCCAACGGGCCCAAGCACGTTGTGGACCCGACGCAGCAACATCCATATGAGAAGGACCTCTAATGAAGGGACACCTGGACTTCTAACTTTGACTAAAGCCCTACAAAGCCCCGTTGAAACCCGAAAGCCTTATGATACCGGAAAGACCCTAAAAGACAGAGAAAAGGGCCCTTACTAACACTAACTACACCCCAAAGAAAAACAGAGTGAAAACACACAAACTCTAGCCTAAACCGAAACCCGTGCTGGCCCGTTTTACACTAGATTATAGGACCTTTAGGGTTTGCTTTCGCTTTTGAGAACTCCCAACATGCTTCTAGTTTGCATGGCCCACGTAGAAGCAGGGAGGGCCATTGCACTAGAAGTCGATTAACAGACCCTAAACCCTAAACCCTAAACCCTTCTGTAGGAAGGAAAGTGCGATGCCCGATAGAGTCTGAGCCCAAGTGCTGAAACGCCGAGGCGCACATCTCTTGCATGTCACCCCTTCTTCCCTTATATATCGCTTCTCCCTAAACCCCTGAAGCCCTAAACCCTGAACCCTAAACCCTTCATGCAAGTCCCAGCTTAGAAGGACAGGGAGAATCCTAAGATCCTCGGCCCGCAGGCAGTTTGACCTCAGAGCTTCTCGATCGTTGAGCCCCGACCTGCCCTCTGCCGGGATCCTTCTGCTCCCCGGACGGTTTAGGGTTTAGGGTTTAGGGTTTAGGGTTTAGGGTTTAGGGCGAAGAACCGGGCACCCAGACCCCCGGGAGGATCCAAAAAGTAGATCCCTTAAAGGGGGTTCCTATAAAGACCCTTTGGATCTACTTTCTGGATCCTCCCGGGGGTCTGGGCATAGGGTTTTGGGGTGATGAGACTTACAGGGATTGGGGTTTAGTAGGGGTCCATGGGAAGAGAGCTTATGGTAAACCAACGAAAGTTGGAAGCCGCGTGAAGGGCAAGTAGTGCTGGGATTCCGTATACATGAATGTTAGGGATTGAGGCTCCCTAAACACTAAACCCTAAACCCTAAACCCTAAACCCTGTTGGGTTTCCAATGTTTGGGCTTCTACCAAAGGGCGATGAATAAGCCGGTCCAGGGTTCCTCAGCTGAGGTAACCTTAAACTTCTGGCCCTTTTTGGAATCCTACCAGAATTGAAAAAGCTTTTTTTGGGGCTAGGGTCTTCAGCCTAAGGTTCAGATTTAGGGTCATGTAGGTTTTATTCTAGTTTTTGTTGTTGGGCTTCAGGGCTTCAGGTTCAAAAAGGCGGCGCGAGCAGCTGGTTGTTGGTTGGCTGATTCTGGGGGTTGCAGGGCGAAGAGTTGAAAGGCTCAATTGCCCTAGTCCTTCTGTTGATGGACAAAATCCTGCATGACCCAAATACAGGATTTTGTCCATCAACCGTTACACCTTTCGGGTGGATGAACCCCCACAAGGCTCTA